GGGGGGGGGGGGAGTTAGTGGTAACTGGGTAATTCATTTAAATTCCTGGAGAAAACTAAAGTCAGGCCCTAGACTCCAGGGTCAAGAGCATCACTCTCACTGCTTCAATATCATGGTTATTGGTGTTGTAATGCTGGCGGAGCAACCGCCCTTGGATGGAAGGAGGCACAGCGTAGGTTGGGAGAGAGCAGTCGTTTGAACACCTGTGTCCTTTCCACAGATCCACCGTGGGCGCCAGGCTGGCATCCGAGGTAACCTGTTCTAATGCCTCCCACTTACAAGCCCCACTGTGTTGTCTCCTTGCTTCTCTCCCTTTCCACCCTTTCTTCTGGCCTGTAGTGGTTTGTAAAACTCACCACAGCACCTCCACAGGGCTTGTGAAAACCAATGGAGCAAATTTGTCTTCCCCCTTGGTGATTACAAATAGCAGTGAGAAAAGGAGCTGCAGCAGCCCCGGGAGCGGGGATCTTGAAGTGGCACTCCAGACCTCCCTCCTGCACTGGGGGTGGCCCCTGGGCTGCTGCTGTGAAGAGGGTGGCAGGGTGGGCCGCACTGCCTGCCACACACGCCTTTCACTTTGTTCTTAAAGCTAGGGTGGAAATTCTATGATGCAGATGACTATCACCCAGAGGAAAATCGAGTGAAGATGGGAAAAGGGATTCCACTGAATGACCAGGTAATGTTCGCTGTTTGCAACAAATATTCCAACTGGGTGACACAGGTTGAGATCTCTGCAGCGCTTGGCATAGTTCAGTTCCTGAGTCATGACTTAACTCACTGACAGTGCTCCACAAGCCAGACACTCAGTGGAGCCTTGGCCAATGTTAGCTTTGGCCCTGAACTTCTCTCAACTCGGCATCAGGAACGATGCACCCAATCTCTGCCCCACCTTCTGCAGAACACTTTGCTGCAGAATTTTAATGTGCAGAATGTAATCCCTGAGAGGGCCTCCTACGTGGGGAAGTTCATCTTCCCTTTCCAGGTCCTCTTAGCCTGCCACCATCACTGGACTCTGGCATCCACCCCAAGCCAGTGATCTTTGCAAATTCAAATCTGGCCTTTTGGAATTTCCAGCCAAACTGAGGGTCAAGACCAAACTCCTCAATGTGCGTCGTTAGGCCAGAATGACCGTGACCCAGTCTGCTCTCTTCAGTTGCCATGCACCGCCTCTGTGGCCCCTTTCAGTTCCTCCTGTCGTGATCCTTCCCAGGGCCTTTGCATCTGCTCGTCCCACTGCCTGGAATGTGCTTCCTTCCCCTTGACATCAAGTTAACCCTGCTTAGCCTTCCCATCTTAGCTCCTATGCCACTTCTTCAAGGAAGCCCTCCCTGACCTACTTAAGTAAAACCTCATATAATAAACTCTCATGGCAACATATCACTTACTGTCCACATCCCAGTTGCAACTTGGCATGAGAATTTGATTAATATTTATCTCTGCAACTAGATTTTACCTCCAAAAGGGCAGAGACTGGCAACTTCTGTTCCATTGTATATCCCCAGGGTCTGACACACAGTAAGTGTCAGAGAATATTTGTGGCATATTTATGAGTAAATGAATGAATGAGAGGAATGAATGAATAGCATTTCATTCCTATATGCACCATCCTGAGGCCATTTCCTAGGGGTCTCTCTCAAACCAGATTTACAAACTGTGGATTCCTTGACTTAACTAGCTGTAGCCCAGGAGACAATGTGATGGCAGGGTCAAGGTCTGGGTCCACAGGGCAAGATCCAAAGGACAGTACAGAATGGAACTGGCCAAACATCAGCACTGTTTTCGCTTACTGTGTGAACTTGGTTCATGCAAAGTCATACCCTCAATCTCTCTTCCCTTTGTCCTGCCTTGAAGGACTTGAGTCACTAAACCATTAGTAGGTCTAATTCTAGAGTATTCTAAGAGTGCACTTCTCTGTTTCAGGGAGTGCAGCTTGAGTTTGAAAGACTGAAGCTGTGAACCATCAAAATTAAGTTTGCAGCATTTGACTTTAGAAGACAGGAGAAGTGAACCATGAAAGAGAGTAATTTAAACATAATACTGATATTACACTAGAGATAAGACATAATGTAGATAACCAGGCTCTACCACTGAGTGACCTTTGGCAAGTGGGTTAGTCTCTGTGCATTTTCCTCCCCTGAAGTAAGGATGGTGCCATTTCATTGGATTCTTGGGATTAAGTGAGATAACAAAAAAAAATAAGAACAGAGAAGCACCCAAAGCCTTCAGGAAATACCACTTTTCGTCTGTCATTGTGGCTCATATCTACACAGACACGTATATGGAATGGAAACCACTGTCATAGTGTGCAAAGTGCCTGTGCCAGCGTTGCTTCTCCTTGGTGAGTCGCAGACAAGAGTTAAGTTAAAGAACAAAGTAAAGCAACCACGCGGACGGATTCTGACATGGCATTTAAACGTTCTTCCTGTTCAAAAGTGAGGCTTGTCCGCGGACACAATGGCTGGGGTGGGGGCAGTAGGGTTCAGAAGAGTTTCTTGTACGAAGACCAGGTTATCAGATGCTGGGAGAACCGTAACAAGTTCCTAAATATATTCTGGAGAAACTGTGCAAGTTACCCCCACCTCAGAGACAGGCAGAACAGGGAAAGGGGCAGAACGGCAGGTGCTTCCCATCCCTGACAGCGCAGCACGTCTGAGGGAAGATGTGGGTCATGGCAGGGCTGGCAGTCGCCCGGCAGCCGGCCCTGCCCCGGGACTGTGATGAGGGTCAAGTGCAGAGTCCTAGGCAGAGGAAGTCTGGGGAGGGTTTTGTGCTTAGAGGGCTGAGGTGTGAAGAGAAAGAACCTGAGCTGAGCATACCAGGGCTCCTTAGGCTGTTTCAATGAAATGAAATGCACTCTCCAGTTCCTGGGTTGCGGTGCCACATGTCACGTGTTCGTCAACTACATGTGGCTGGTGGCTACCAATCCAGACGGTGCAGACGGGACGTTTCCATCACGGCAGAAGGCCCTGTTGGACAGCACTGGGCTACAAAGATGTTATTAGCATGATGCTGATAATAAAGTACTTCTGAGTTCCAGTGAGTCCCCACGGGGCCTGGGCAGCCCCCAGTCACAATGGAGCAGATTGCAATTTCAAAATCTGTTTCAACATGTTAATTTGTGGGGAGATAAACATTCACTCCATAACAATAATATATGGTGTACAATATACAAAAATAGAGTATGAGGGAAAGCTACTCATTTTATGAGGCTGGTATAACCTAGACACCAGAATTTAATATGGACTGTACAAGAAAACAAATGCTGGTCAGCCTCCATTATATAAACGCAAAAGTCCTAAGTAAAATGATAGTAATCAAATATGTAAAAGCAAGGACTTTTAAAAGCCCGGCCAGGCTTGGCTCAGCAGTTGAGCATCGACCTAGGATCCAGGCGATCGAGGTTCGATTCCCGGTCCAGGGCACATGCCCGGGTTGCGGACTAGCTGATCAGTGACTCCCATCATTGATGTTTCTATCTCTGCTCTCCCTTGCCTTTCCTCTCTCTGAAATCAATAAAGATATATTAAAAAAAAAAAAAAAATGTATCATGTTTGTAGAACACACATCAAAATCATAAAGGATGGGAACACAGGTGGGAATATAGTTGGGACATAATATAGAACAAAATTGAGTTGAAAATTGAGTCTGTGTTACGAGTACATAGAAGTTTGTTTTATACTATTTTGTCTGCTTTTGACATTTAAAATTTTTGTAATAAAACATGTTTTTTAAATGCATTATGGCCAATCAGTATTTACCCCAGGAAGGAAGAGAAGTCTTGTCTCAGGAAGATTTCTTTGTGAAACACTGTAAGGTATCCTATGTAAACCTCCTCTGTTTTGTCTTTGGAAAAATATGAATTTCTCACAATGCTTTTACCTGACGGGAGTTATATTTCAGGAGGGTTTGAAAAATAGGACCAAAGGGTAGCTGACGTAAGAGTTTCTGTGAATTCCTCCCAGCATCTGAGATCAGAGGCACCTACAGAATCATGCAGTGCAATCAAAGAAGATTTAAAATCATATTAGAACCAGGGAAAACATACGTACAACAGGGAGATTAGATGGGGGGGGGTACAGACTGATATTTTAGGGCAATTTGTATTATTGTGAAAAGAGCCCCTGGTTCCTGAACCAGGAAAATGTTTGTGTGCTTAACTGCCCAGTGACTTGTGTATGGGGGCTACTTCTCAAAACCACTAAGATCTCTCTGGACCTTAACATTGATGAAAAAGATTAACGATGTTTCTGTCCAAACAATACCTGAAAAGTCACTTTGTGTCTGCTCTCATTTCAGGACAGGATCCCATGGCTTTGCAACTTGCATGACATTTTAGTAAGGTAAGTGCATCAGGCCTTGGCATAAGCCAGTGAGTTAAGAAGACCCATCAGAAAGTACAGGGAAAAAATATACTCTTGAAATCAGAACTGACTGATGGTAAAGGATCCCAGAAATGGAATGTGTCGCTATCAAATAACCAACAATGATTTTAATCAGCCACAGACATACAGCTCAGTTGGGTTCTGGACACAAACCTAGACAGCTCCACAATTACTAGCTGGGAATCTTAGCCACTGGCTTCAATGAGCCTGTTCCTTCATTTGAAAAAGGTGTTAAATAGTTCCTAGTCACAGATTTTTGTCAAGAATTAGCAAGATGAAACACAAGTAGTACTTAGGACCGTGTCAATGTAAAAGTGCTCAAAAAATGATAGCAGGCTGGGCCTGAGCATTACCCTACACCCACAGAGGCCGAGCCCACGCTTACCCAGAACTTCCTGGACCCAGCACCTTGGTAAACTTTTTCTTCCCAGTTCCAGGGGCACGTCCTCTGAGTAGCCCCACCTAACCGATGATGCACTGATGGCCAGGGAGGAACGTTCCTTCCCTAAGATGGTTCGGTTCACTAGTGGACGAACTTGACCTCAACGCCAGGACTGCCTGAACCCTGACCCCCGTTCTGTAACACCTCCCACTGGCAGGGAAGTGGTACTGGACTCGACCTAGGATGGGCTCCAGGTATTTTAATGTTTTCATTCTTCACACTTACTCCTCCACCCCTTTTTTTCTTTAGAGATGTAGCCTCGGGACAGCATGTGGTCCTAGCCTGCTCAGCTCTGAAGAAAGTGTACAGAGACATCTTAATCCGAGGAAAGGATGGTGCACCTCCCAAGTGTGATGAGCCAGGGAAGGAAGGAAAGCCAGCGGAGGTGAAGCTCCTTGTGGTCTATCTGAGCGGGTCATTTGAGGTCATCTCTGAACGCTTACGCAAAAGAAAAGGGCATTTTATGCCCCCCGAGTTATTGCAGTCCCAGTTCGATACTCTGGAACCTCCATCAGCTCCAGAAAATTTTATCCAAATCAGTGTGGACAAAAGTCTTTCAGAGATCATTGCTATAATTAGAGAAGCTCTAAAATGAAATGTAAGTCGTTTCCTATCCGTGGTCCAGACAGAATTAGGCATAAATTTCTATCCTATCCCCGACCAAGTCCAGCATCCTTGTTGGTACTGTATTCTGAATTCTAATTAAGGTGAACAAACCACGATGTTGAGATGTGCTTGTTTGCATGTGGTTTTAGAATTTGTGGTACTCTTGTCTTCATGTTCTGGCACATTGGAGAAGAGAGGGAACTCTGAAAGCTTCCACTGAAATTGAAATTTATATGACCCCGTTAAATGATCAGAGGATATCATATAATCAGCACTGAAATCATTACCGGTATTCCGACAAACTGGGCTATCCTTGGCATCCAGGAAGATGCTTCCTTACCCTCCCTATCCTAACCAGAGCCACAGGACTCAGCCACTCTACAGGGCTACTGGTTGGCTCTGGCCAGAGTTTTGAGACCAGTTACCCGTTTTCTTTCACAAGGGCATGCAGTCTTTTTCCCAGGAACTGGGTGCCAGGTATTGGAAGGGCCCTTCTGGGTGGATAGACCTTGTCTAAGAAATGTGAAGTCCTGGATTTTCTTCTCTGGCAGAGTCCTTGGGGCACCTCCTGCCTGGATTCACTTTACATCAACCTTCATATTCTGGGTCCAGTTGACATACCCCGGGCTAGATGAGAGTCACCCCAAGCCAGAGAGGAAGGACTCAATCAGTCCACTGTCCCTGGTGAGTCCACAATGGGTACCGTGATAGACACTCTGGAGGGTCTGAGGACCTGTAACACAAAGCCCTGGCTCTAGGGTGGCTTAACTTGGCTGTGGGAAGATAGGGCATCTCATGTCCTCTGGTACAGGCTCGAGTTCTCAGTGGAGACAGCTCTTCACAAAAAAGAATTGTTTTTCAAGTATCTCACTAGACATTCACGTAGAACCAAGTGAGAAAACCTGTTTATAATTGTAAGAGCACGCAATTTAAGAGCACACAATCTAACCCCGTTTTATACATAAATGAAAATATTTTTTGCAGTTTTAATGTTCACTGATGTTTCCAAGAATACAATAAAGGAACAGTTGTATCCCATTTTATTTTAACTGCCAAGAGTTATTTCAGAAGTCACACTGCATTTGTTAAGAATATGACACACCTACATCCACCTGCATTTGTAATTCTTCATTTGCAGCGATCCACCTATGGGACAAGCACTCTACTCCATCATGTTTGCCTAGTATAGACATTACATATTGAAGCCCCTTCGTTTATTACAAGTTGCTTTCCCTTTTTTGTTCTTTAGAGTTAAAGCATCATGTTTATTACCTCCCTAGGTAAGATTTATTAAAGGAGACATTAGAAAGTAGTTTTTAAAAAAGGCACTGAGTCTGGTGGAGTTGAACACTACTACCGCTCTAATGTTCCCAAGCTTGGCTGCAGGGAGGCGAACGTGTGAGCAAGTACTGCCCTCTGGCGGCCCAGAGGGATACAGCAAGCACAAACTGCTCTCCGTCCTGAGAATCCCTCCGCGGCCAAGGGACTGTTGCTGGGTTAAGGGTGGAGTGCTGCTCCCCGCCCAGCCCATACCACACTCGTGCCCAGCCTCTCTGAACTGCTTCTCCATCATTGCATAAGATGTGAGAACGGAAAAAAATGCATGCAAAGTGCTGGGGCCGAAATCTGACTGACTACTCAACAAACAGCTTGTTATATTTGTCATCCCCTGGACTCTGAGGGAGTGTGGCCATAGGACAAGAAGTCCCACTCCTGTTATTCTGTGGGGGAGCTTATGAACCCCTCCCTAAGTATGTGAATCTCAAAGTCTTCCTTCTTAATCCCTGCCAGGGTCTCCTTCCACCCCTCCCCAACCCGTGACGAGGTCAAATCAGGTGTTCTAGCAGCAGCATTCACAATATCCAAATGATGTGTCTATCAACAGATGAATAAAATGCAGCACATCCATACATTGGAATATTGTTCGGCCATAAAAGGGAATAAAGTACTGACACATGCTACAACATGGATGAACCTGAAAACATGCTAGGTGAAGGAAGCCAGTGAAGGGTAAGGGGGTAATGGTGAGTGACTGGTTTCCTTTCTGGGTGATAAACAAGTTCTGGAGGATTTTGGCGGTGGCACAACATTGTGATGTACTTTAAAATGGTTACAATAAGTTCTGTTACATCTATATTAGCACAATTTTAAGCAAAAAAAAGAACCCCCAAACCATCTCACTAACCTTAGGAGAGCAGGCTAGAATGCACACTACCCAAATAAAAGGGGCTCAGTTAAGTACCTAGTCCCTTCTACAATATTCAACAAGCAGTTCAGTCAGACTGCCTCAGGAAGAAAGTGTACACTGGAGAAGAAAAATGTGCTGCTCCAACACTTTTCCCCTTCTGGGATCACAGTGTGTTGCAGATTTAAACAGTCATAAATTCTCTGACATTCTACCCATCAAGTAGCAGGGCCTATGACACTTAACTCTGGGCAAGCTAAATGACACGGGGCCAATTTTGGGACCAGACCTTAAAAAAACTGACAGCTTTAGTTTTTCTTAAAATACTTGGTCTTGAAACTTATCTACCATGTAAGAAAGCAAAAGTAGCCCTGAGGAAAGGCCCATATGGAGAGGAACTGAGACCCCCAACTGCACTCCCAGATGAAAGCATGCAGCAATTACACAGCCAGGTCAATAAGCCCGCCGTTGCAAAGAAAATTCTCCAGACCCAGGCAAGTTGCTCCAGTGGTACTCACACAAAGCCCAGCCAGCATTGCTCACTTGTGAATAAAATAAATGACTGATTCTGTTCTAAGCCACCAAGCTGTGGGGGAGTTTGTTATAAAGCATTAGAAACCCACAACACAGGGGAAAGTCCGTTCATTTTCTGGGAAGGATAAGGAGTGGAGAACATGCCTAAAATAGATTTTTTTAAAAAATCTAGCTTGAATACACAGCAGCTACTTTTTATATCCCATTAAAGAATTAGGTCCCACATACAGCTTTGGTCTTTTGAGGGAAATTATACTGGGAGCTCCTCTAGGCACCTAGCTCTGTTCTAAGCAGAGAGGTTAAGACAGACTGGGTTGTGGATCTGGGACAGGTTACCTAATTAAGGAGTCTGAAATACACGTGTAACATGTATGAATTGAAATTATCATCTAGGATGTGATTCGTCACACTGTCCCAGCTCTGGAAGAACTCTCAAGATCATTCTATTTAATCTCACTAAAGCAAAGCAAAGATGTTGGGAGGAGGGTGCTGTTTCGACTGACCATAGAAAGTTCAGATGGGCTGGGAAGGTGCCACTCCTTCTGACAAGGAAAAGCAGCTCTAAGCTGAAAAATGGTGACTGGAAAAGACCGAGAAACCTTCTCCCTCACACTGTAGTTCATGTAACAGAGGTGCTTGCTTATTTGGGGATCAAAGTCTAAGTCCGTATATCTCTCACCAAGATTGTAACCTCCCAACAGTCTCTCTGCTTCCACCCTGGTCGCCCTCGTCCAGTAGGTCTCACGGGGAACCTTGTTAGAAATGGAAATTCTCCTCCAACCCCAGAACTAGAAAATCAGAAACTCTGAGGATGGCACCCAAAGAATGGAGTGTTAAGTCCTCCACATCAAACCCCTAACCCACTCTCCTATTATATTCTGTAAACCACTGTCTCCCCAGTCATACCAAACCTCCTGTGTTCCCAGGACACCCACATCGCAGGGCCTTCTCATTAGTTGTGCTTCATCCCTGGAAAATTATCCACCCTCCGAGAGAGTCTCCCAGTCTTCAAGTCTCTATAGAAATGTCCCCTTCTCACTGAGGCCTCGTCTGACTACATATAAGAACACCTTCCAGAGCCAGCCTCCTCACTCATCGTTTTTCACCACAGCACTTGTCACTATCTAACAGAGCACATATGTTTTATTGTCTGTCTCCCTACATCCTACTATGTAAACCCCACATGGAAAGAACTTTATTACCTGCTAGACTTTCAGCAACTAGAAAAGTACCCAGTACTCAACAGATGGTCAATAAATATTGACTTTCTGAGGCAATGGTTGCTTATGGTTGATGAGAGGAAAGATACAAAGAAGTCGAGGAAAGACAATGTTATTTAAATAACACAAGAAAATTTCATCAGAAAACAAAAAAGCCCAAAACTGTAAGGTGAATGAAGGGCAAAACGCAGCAACTGAGTAAAGGCTAAGTAGCTCCAAGTAAATCAGTCACTGGTTAGGAGAGTCTAGGAAGACTTCAGGACTGAGCCCAGCAGGAACGTAGGCTTTTGCAAGCTGAAGACAGATGAAACCCCAGAGAAGGGAACACCCATGTGCAAAACCAGGGAAGCAGAGACGTGCTAAGTATAGTTTTCCCAACGTGTGTTCGTTGCAAATAGCATCACCTTGAAGAACAGTTAAGTGAAAGGGTGGGAAAAGATAGAAAAAGGCTGGACTAAACAACTGTAAACAGGTTTCTTTAATGCAAGACTTCTTGTTGACTTTAACATGTTTAATTTAATATTAACTTCTAAGAGAGAAAGTACAGTACAGTATGCAGTATTTCCCTGCCTTAATCACACCACCTTTTTGTTTTGGTCAAGCACACAGACACGTAGCCTAGCTTCACTTTTATCATAAATGTTAGTGACATTTTTATCTGTCCTATTTTGCTGGAATTTGCCTATTACGTTAACAAAGTAATACTGTCTCCTCAAACAAAAGGCCCCTTTCGTTACTATACTCAAGCCAAGTCAAACTCCAATTCGGAATACACAGAGGCTAGCTGAAGATATCACAAATATTCCACTTGGGAAATAAAATCCTGAAATATTATTTTCACCACCCCATTCTTTATTCAATGTGTAATAATCCAGTATGAGAACAACCTAAGCCTATAGTATTTTAAGTGTCTTTTTAATGCTCTTGAGAATTTTAAGTATTCTGAACTCCTTAAAAGATCTTCAGATCTAAGATAAACGTCTTAGAAACAAACAACAAAATCATACCACTGCAGCAGCTGAAAGGTACTGAGGAGATTACCCAGGCCAGCGTGCCACACAGGCTTCATCACCACTTTTATAATAAAGAAATCATGATGCTTTCTCTCAATCAACTAGTCAGGTACCAAAAAAAAAAAAAAAA